TCATTACACGCAGGGAAATGAAGAGACTTTGTCCAAATGGCGATGCACTTTTTGCCCATTTGTGGGTCATCGTGACCCAGTTTGGTCCAGCATGAGGGCGTATCAGTGCTACGTGCTGAAAGTGTGTCTCTATTTGGGCAATATGAGCCATCCATTATTTTGAGTGTACCATGCTTGCCTATGTTACGCTTCATTTAGGAGTCCAAGTGTAAAGTGTGTCTCTATTTGGGCAATATGAGCCATCTATTATTTTGAGTGTACCATGCTTGCCTATGTTACGCTTCATTTAGGAGTCCAAGTGTAAAGTGTGTCTCTATTTGGGCAATATGAGCCATCCATTATTTTGAGTGTGCCATGCTTGCCTATGTTACGCTTCATTTAGGAGTCCAAGTTTTCGCAACAGATGTTGAACACGCAGGTTTCTTGGTTGCTAATTTCCTTCCATTTATTTAAATAAGCAACAATGAATCTTTGATCAACAAATGCTATATGTAAACCAACGTTCATATTATATGTTTCATATAACATGATTTTATTTGATCACTATAACATGATTTTAAGTGATCAATATAACATGATTTTAAGTGATCAATATAACATGATTTTACGTGATCAATATAACATAATTTTATAGGATCAACATAACATGATTTTTTATGATCAATAACTTGATTGTTCCATCGAACTGTCGAAGTGAACTGCAACCAAACGGTGGCTCGTCGTCAGTTTGAACGCATTTGTTCTCTTGGCGAATTTCAACTGATAACAAATAACAAATTTCGATTCATTTTTCACGTGTGTAGTTAATATATTATCAATGGTTCATTATGGGAATGCATAAAGGAAGAGAAGTTGCCATTTGATGTCTCGTTTTTAAACTTGCGTGATGACATAGTAACTAAAGTACTAAACCATCATTGCTGCAGGTCTGGTGAATATTTTGTAGCAGAGAAAATTGGCCTAATTTACATAACATATTTTTGCAAAGGATAATTCAATGCTGTTACCAATACTGGCCATTTCTGTTCTAAGAATCTCTATGGAGAAAGCTCTTCTGCGCTAGACCAGCACGAATAGAGATCAATGTAATGGTTACCCCCTGATTTAGCGTTCTCTGACATAGAAAATATTCGAGGATGAACTAATGTATATCAATGATTTCCATTATATCGGATAAACTAAAGTATATTAATAATATCTGTTAAATTATCGTTTCAGTTTATCAGTTTCAGTTATCAGTTCAGTTTCAGTTATCGTTCTAAATTTAGATATCAAGTTACGTCAAGCGATGACTCGAGACCTCATATGTACGAGATGCAGTCGCTGAGTTATTAATATTCAAGCGATATTACTTGAGTAAAATCCGTAAGAAGTTGTCAGTACGAGAACTCACTTGATGGAACTGTTCCCTGTGCTGGCATTGCTCCAAGTTCATCACAAACCGTCTAACTGAAGGGGAAAAAATACGTAATGAAATCAATGAAGAATACTTCAATGAGTTTCATTTAGAATTAATGCTGTAGAAGCTATGAATCTAATGCTACATTCACTTCTATGTTGGTTGGTCGCAACTATGCGGCGCTGTTGCCAGCGGTGTTCTGTGTGGCCGACTAACGGATCCGACGCGCTCCATTATGATCTTCATAGCAAGGAAGTTATAATAAATGTTTTATGTCATACGCCGTTTGTCGTAAACCTCTGAATAATATGTTCATCGAATTAATTTAATTCATGAAGTAATATTCGGGCTCGCCAAGCTCCCGCTTATCCACGTTAGCCGCGTTGCTACGCCGCCATCTTTGTATAACACTGGCGCCTCAGCTTACTCTCTCGTTCCTACACATTTGGACGTTTTGGTAGCAATGGAGAAAGAAAGAACAAAGCAGAAAGGATTAGGCTGTTGTCAAAAACTCCTTACTTCAGTGAGAGACCGATATTTAAGAAAATTGTTCGACATTAACGATGTTGATGCCAACGAAGTGCCGGCAAAACCGTGATGTGCAGATTTTGCATGACTGCCTCCCGTTTAACACGGTGATTTACTAAACTATTTGGTGTTTTGTGGTCAGCCACTACACCTTGCAAGAATTCAAGGCATACAAGACGCTTGAAGATTACAAACAATTTGTGGATGGATGGGTACAGGCGATGGAGAAACGAAACTTCAACGAATCAAGAAAGGCGATGTACTTGGTAGAGTTAGTTTGGTAGTACAACTGGACGAAGATAATGATGCTGATGAATGGAACCTTCTAAGAATGGAAAATGAAATTCCTTTTCACCTTCTTGAAGAGGAAAAGGATAGAATTTTATCAATGCTTACCAGGTAACCAGGGTTCGGACGGCTCATAGTAATACCGATCCCGATATTGGACGCGCTCATGTGACACCTCAGACCACAGAACTGACCAGAAATCTTGACGTTTTGAAAACCAATTTATATTGAAATTTAAAGGCAATGTAAAGAACTGGAAACATTTGATGTTATAGAATAAAGCGAATCAATTTGATCTTCCAACAAACCAGCCAACTGCAACAACACTATCATCGTTGCAGGATAATGAATATGACAATGTTATCTGATCTATAAATATTATTACGTTTTATTCTTACTTATGTAGCTTATCTGAAGGCAAGTAACAGATTTTGCCCCCGGAAAATGTATAGTTTCGTATATAATAAATATTCACGGCTGGTACACTGATATGAGTATATCAGTACGAGCCATAAACTGATACGATATACACGGCATTCACGGCTAGTAAACTAGATAAACGCATTCCATTGTATAGTTTTCTGTTTAAATGGCCTTCAGAACGACCGGTACATCTTATAACGATGCAGTAGCGTCCCATCTTCAAGCAAAAACTTCAAAAAGAGACGATCGCAGTACATTTAACACGTAGGCGAGAGCTAGACCCTGCTTCAAATATGGCGGCCTATCCTACAATGCATCTGGCGATTCGGTGCCGTGACGTCATCCTTTCGAGCCCGCAGAGGCTCACGTTCATTCTCAGAAGAAATTATCTGTAATTTTTGGTTGCATGATCATGACAAAATCTTCGCACCAATGATTCAATTGATGAAAGAAACATATTAGTAGCAAAAATTGATAATAGCAACTCGTTAAACCAATAAAGTTAATTTAGTTTACATCAACATTTCAGATAAATAAAAATTATTGGGGCATGATATGCGGCCATGAGCCCTGCCTGGGGCAGTCATGTGGCGCTGTTGCCAAATGGACGTCAACGGCGGACTAAACCTGGCTCAAACTACCCATTGAAATGGCACAATGTGGCACCGTCACCGGTCCCATTATGAACCTTTTCTTCGTAAATAGTGAACAGGATATTATCATAGTAATCATTGCTCTAGTCTAAGTTATGAATTAGTATAAGGTAAGATTTTCTGTGTATATGTGAAGAATTAATTCTTGACTAGAAGATTGTATGTAATAATGAATATGAATTTAATCGGATTCAAGTGAGAAAAGAGAGAGCTAGATTATGATGGTGAATAAATGTATTTATTATATGAAATAATTAGAAAAATTTCGACGGCAAAATTAGAAACGATGAAGCATATGGCCTACGGTACAAACACCATAGCGCCTGGTGCTGTCCTGGATTAAGTTCTGACTGGTGATAATTTTGTGAAGATTGTGTGACGTTTGCTTGTATACTCAGGCTGTGTGACGTTTGCTTGTATACTCAGGCTGTGTGGCGTTTGCTTGTATACTCAGGCTGTGTGACGTTTGCTTGTATACTCAGGCTGTGTGACGTTTGCTTGTATACTCACTGTCTCTTATACACATCTAGATGTGTATAAGAGACAGCTATCAGGGAGGCTGTTCCACATGTCGGTGACTCGAAGCGAGAAGAAATGTTGTCGCAAGGATGTGTTCCAACGCTGTTTTTTTAGTTTATAGCCGTGGCCCCTGGTGTTCGTTCTTGTTTCAAATTCTAGTATGATTCTAGCATGATTCTAGTATAGCATGATTCAAATTTCTATTTTCACGTTATTGTGAGAAGTGATAGTGTAAATGTTTGAATAATGTGTGTAAATTTAAAACGATTAACCGATTAACGATTTGATGCGAGGGCCAGTATACAAGGTGAGAAGATGCATGGTTAGGTGATAAAAATTAGCCATGTTTCCCAATTTCGTCCGTGATTACTGTTAGAAAAATTATTTTTCTCATAAGAAATGATCATAAGTTTTCCCCATGTGTTTACCAATAGGTAAGAACCAAAATTACGCTTTTCGAAAATCTTATTCCATTCCATATTATAGCAACCAAATAATGGTTTTGTAAATCTCTTCGTTTGTGATGACTTTTTGTCAAACTTTCTTCGTAATTTCATTACCACACGCGATTTTCTATGTTATGCATGTCTTCATGTTCCGCTTACGTTGCCAGGGATATTAGTATCTTCATTCATACAATTTTTCCCACCATTCTGTCCTCATTAAATTTCTATTTTCTAAAGTGAATGATTAAAGATGCTGCCACGTGGTTCATACAACAATCTGGTTTGAGCTTTGGCTTACTCCTGCAACTAGCGTCAGCCTGAGTATATAATTATTATCCTGAAGCTAGTATTATACCATAAATGTTGAAAATATTTAACTAAAGAAAATGTCACACATATTTTGATATAGGGTTGCCGCAAAATTAGTTTTGGCCAACATGGAGTGGAAGTCAAGCGTGTATTTTGGTAGCAAGGATACGAAGATTTCGAGGGCACGACGCGACTGGCGCTTCAAGTCAATAACAACAAACTCTTCACTTCACAAACCCTTGATGCGACGCGATTGTGAGGCCTGACGCTGACATGGTTAATAGAATAGAAAAACATGCGATGTGTTGAATAATTGAATTTAACCGTGAATATTTACTCCGTTCATTATTTTAATTTAATCACTCGTGAAGTCTCATTGGAAAGGGCAGGTGAGTCCATGGCATATCACTTAAACAGGATAAAAGGTAATCACTGTTGAAATTCTTTCCAAGTTACAATAACAATTTCGGTGACAATATAATATTGTATCAACCATATCCTAGTCCGTAAATAACTATTGTACTATTATTATACGATTAACGACACAAAACACAATAAACCTAACAAGATCCATAAGCCATGGATGATTTTTAAAAGTATTTATTTTGCAGTTTCTCTACATTTCACCGCATGACCGCCAGTGATAATATGTCTTGATGACCAGGTCGGGTCTCAATTATCTTGCCCGGGAATTAGCGATCCACCAACCGCGCAAAAAACCTGAAAAGTAGAATACAATTTTTAGTAATAAAAATCTGAAATTTTCTATGGAAAGAACTTCAGTATTTATTTTTACCTGTGTATTGATTCCTTTCCCTTCATTAAGTCACTTATATCATGCAGACATTGTTATGGGTTTTGTTAGCCTTCCTGACTATTAGTTTACTTTTTCATTCATATATTTATAATACATACTTCTATAGTTTGATTCCGTTTGTTTCCACTAGTATAAACCTATAAAGGAAACTTGGCCACAAATGTTGGTTCAAAAATTGTGCACCATAAAAAGTTCTTTACTGGGCATTCAAAGTTGAATAACGAAAGTTAAACATGGATATAAATAATATCGTATATAGATATTCAAAAAACTTCTCTTGAACATCACAGTTAATGAAAAAAATTCTTCCACGATAAAGTTTGAAGTTCAAAGTTTTGAGATTATTTTAAATAATAAAGAAAATAGACATAGATGTCGTATATTGAAAAATGCAAATAGTTCACAGCCCTGTTGATTAACCTCCATCAACCTTGTATAATTTTGTTTATTCGCATTTGAGGCGGTTAAAAACACAATTATTATCAATTGTCATACAAATTGTAGATTTTTTGTGTAAATATTATTGGTACTTCGAAATAAGATGAACATTTTATGGGACTCATTTATTCTAAAGTAAACCGTTGTGGAATTACTATTTAATTTCTCACCTTATCATGTGATTCTTTCCTCCATTTCTTTACCACTTCCTAAAATAATCTCAAAATTTTACAAAACAAAAAATTGCTTACCTACGCTTTTTCAACATGAAATATAAATAAATGAAATTCACGCTTGAAATCATCAGTAAAAATAACTGCTCTAACTCACTCTGATTCAGCACATTTCTGCCCGGTCCCTCCCGTTTATAAAGACCCGGCGATTCTTGCTTCAATATTCCTCCCATCAAGCCTTCAATACTCAAGGTGAATATTGAACAAATGCATCATATATACTGTGTTAGATTGCTGCCGTGACATACCTACTACCAGGCCGCAGCATTTTACATCCATTGAATGATGTTGTTCGTTGACAACTCGATGAAGGTGAGATCAGGTGCACTGCCAGCTGACGTCAGGTGCGCCGCGCCAGGGTCGTGGTATACCTCCCGGATTTGAGGGAGCTCCTCGAACAGCCGACGAGTGCCCGTAGCGCTGAGGCCATTTCTCGGTAAGACCAGACTCAGGCTGAGATGGTAATTAATTCAAGAATTAAGTAATGATACTTTTTTTAGGAAATCTGAGGCAGAATTTTCGTGAAGTTTATCTATACAAAGTAAATTTGTTTGACTGGATGAATCACTCGTGTTGGCTACACCAGCTTTAATTGGAGGCTAATATAGACTTCAAATATATTTACCCCTATACCACCTACATATTGGAAGTATAGGGAGTTCGAGGCTATACCACAAGCGCCAAGCATTTGGCTTCATTACCTCACAAGATATTATGAAAAAAACTTTACATATTGCAATGTTCTTTTTTAATATTGTCAATTTATACTTTGAATCAAATTTTTTTTAAATTTGTAAAGCATCTGTCAACATCTTATCAATTAATTTCGGAAGAGACAAATTCATAGTGCTCGAATGGCAGGCGCTAGAGTAACAGAAACAGCCAGAATCAGAAAACTAATTAATTCAAATTGAGTATATTCCTAAACACCGAGAATCCCTGAATTGGTGCAGGATGCCGATCATCCAGTTCAAGTCCTCGTCGCAGAGGTCTGGGAAGTGCCAGCGGGTGACGCTATAACCGTGCTTCCTCAAATTTGAGCTGATGTTGCGAGCCATTCCTCGCACACAGCAAGCATCGTCTGTAGATCAAGCCGGACTCGAATGAACAAGAAAGATTTTCTCAGCTGATGCATTCTTCTGTTCAGTATTAATAATATACGTTTAAGAATTATTTTTAAAGACAACATTTCTAGAGGGGCCAGTGTCTCCGATGTTACTAATGTACAATGATTTTTTCTCACTTTCAGATGTTAAAAAAATATATTAATTTTGTATTTTATAAATATATATGCATATATCTTCGAATTTACGCAGGTGTGCAAAATTTCAGATTGATTGGGCAGGTAGAAGTGTGTTGAATATCGATTATAATCCTGCACCGTAAGTTGGATGCATTGCTGGTCTGTGGCAATGTGTTGTTAACGAATAGAACTTTGTTTTTCAATATGCAGATCATCCAGGCCCATATATGCTAAGTCAGTTTACTTCATTGTCTATGCAGTGACGATGGTTAATAAAAGCCTCCGACCCTTCAGACCGGCCGATTGATAGAGATAACAGGGACGTGTTTGTTTCATTAAGTTATGCTTTCAGTAAATTATGTAAACTTGTACTGTAGCGTGGATATTAACTTAAAAAAGTAATAACTTATAATATTGCAATGCATTGGAATGGTATCCGTGCTACCGTTCGTCCACAACGGTCACTCATCGTTGCCAAGAAACGGCGAGGTCGCTTGCTGCTTTTTAAATCAACAATTTTCAGTATCAATTACATCGAATGGTTCAACTTACGGTTAATTATTAGAAAACTTACCAATTATCCGTGGTAACAAAAAAGAACGCCCGAATAAGTCGCCATCAAAACGTACACCGATGCTGCAAGGCCCCTCTATAGTTGCCTCTGTTTGAAGTTTGGGAGCCGTAAATCTACCTTTCACACAAATTCCGACGTAAGTCACCAAAAATTATTCATTTTTTATGTTTATAATAGTTTTTTCGCCCACTTATTTGAACGTGATCGTAATTCTCATCAGCTGCGACTTTTCCCTTCATTTTCTCTTGCTCATACAATTTTCTTAATGAACTCGAAAAAAACTTATGGTTCATACTTGTGAGAATGTCTCTGTTTATTGAAGAATATAAAAAGTAAATGGAATTTAGAAACGCCAGTTTGTGTTTCGTCCTGACAAACCTGCTTCAGGAATCAAAAATACAACATAAGCGATGATGACAATTCATGGAAAAATTCCGTTTGTTAGGAAAGACTTGAAAAATTCCAAGACATGCAACATATAAAACATTAATTTGCAGCAATTAGAATGAATGAGAGATAATTCGGCTAAAATATGAATTGATCTTAGGATACAACCTACCACTCTGCATTCCGGCGGGACATCGCTTGTCTAAATAGGCCCCGACTTGACTAGGATGACCGTACATGGTATCCAGGCGGTCACTGTAAACACAGGAAAATGTGAGAGAATGCATGATAAAGAAAAATCCCTTAGAAAATATGGGTAGAATAAGGTACAGTAATTTATGGAATTTTCCGATCTTATATGAACCGGAAATTTTCGTTTCACGTCCAGATTAATGAGCTTCAAACTTGACAAAATTCAACTCATATTGGAGCTACGAACGTCAATTGCGTTCTAACCACCAACATGGGAAAGCTTCTATTGAATACTCACACGTGACTACCCGCAGACATAACAAGAGTTTACACAAAATTTAATTAGCACCATACGCGCGTTCATACATCTAGTGTTCAAAACCTGTACATCATCTCGTGACTTAAAACTGAACTCCGGACCTGCAAACAAATTCTTGTCAACAAAAGTAATGCAAACAAAACTATTGACAAAGAAATTTCAAATATCCGAGCACGTCTAAACCGAACAGATGAATCCACACCAAGAGGTTGCGTCACCAGAATTTACTATCAAGATCAGACGAACAGCGGTCATAGGACTGGCGAACGAGTCCTCAATTCAATTGTGAAAAATAACATCAGCTGCACAACAGTAACTGACCAAATACAACTTTTAATATACAACAGAAACAAAAAAAGTCAAGAATTTGATCGTGAAAAACAATCCATGTAAAAAGTCCGGACCGCTGCAAGAAACCAATGTCATTTACCAATTTTCCTGCTTGAAAGAAGGTTGTAGACTTCTAGACTTCTCCAAAATGTAAATTACATCGGTTTGACCAGCACGACATTGAGCCGCAGACTCACATGCCATCTGCAAGCTGGAGGACCAAAGAATCAAATGCGGGAGGCCCACAACGAGACCATCACCCGTGCCACGTTGGAGGCCTGCACCAGCATCGTCATGCGATGCCCCGACACTACGAGACTGTCGATAGCGGAGGCTCTCATCAACGACGACGAGTCTCCTGCTATCAATTTCCAAACCACTGGGATTCGTCAGGACGTTGAAATTATTCTCGGATTGATTTAATTTTCGATTTTGAACCGAATCGAAGATATTTTTGTATGCACCTATGTCATTTACAAATTTCAATTCTAAGCGTCGTGATAACTTTTCACCTCCTTGATAATGAATATTTAATATAAAAAACGTCGTATTCCAGTAAAATGTCATTTGGTAATCTGCTTTTTGCTCGCCAAGCACCAGCAAGAAATTTCATTCGGCTTATTGAATTAACAACAAGACGAAAATTGTTAATATAAAAAGTATGCTCTGGTCTTCAATCAAACCTGCATATATAGTTATATACATGTCTGATACGTACATTGTTTACATGCGTTTCGCCTTTTTCCTTTTTTGTGTTTCTATCATTATAATTTTTTAATATCGTTCTTTAGCTGATATTGTGATCATAAATTGCCTTTATTTGTAAGAAAATGATCCTCACTCATCCTCCATGCAATGATGATCTCCTATAGTGCCAGTGAAAGGTAAAAGTAGTTGGCATTTTATACTTATTTTCACACGCTCATATTGCGATTATTTTTCTGAATTGTCAAACTTTTGATTAATATACCTAAATTTGTCGATGATGGCTCCTATGCCGCCATCCGCCTGTCCTGCCAGCCTCCAGAAGAAGTCCAGGGGCAGCAGGCTGATGTCGCCGGCATGGTGGTAGCAGAGGCGGTACAGCAGGTCCTCCAGCCCCGGGATGGGGCGGGTGTGGGTGGACACCACCACGAGGCGACTGGGCTTGATGTTGATGGACAGGCTGGCGACAGCTCGCTCTCCTTCAGCCCTGCTGGTGACTGTCCAGGGCACGCCGGGCTCATATGTTGGTAGCTCGTATGTCTGGAAATTACACGGAAACTTTTCATATTGTGATTTATATAGACGAGGAGTAATTCTCTATGCAAAATTGGTTGTTCAGTGACATGAATGGGCTTACAATGTAGAAAAATGCATTAATGTAAAAAAGCGTTCATTAGGCAGGTGAACGATATCATTTCCCCGCTTTACCCTTCTACTCTCATTTTATAACATTCACATTAAATAAAATTGAATCTCTAGGTATCTTTGATATGATCTTTTAGTTTGTTGAATGGTATACGAATCGTTGTAATACATTTAAAGCTAGCACATTTGAGTGATATATCATTTATTTAGGAATTTATATTATATCGTTTTAATTGGCGGTTAGAATTTTGCTTCAAACCTGCCGGTATGCGGTAGATATGACCGATCCTGCTCTAAACTCATAACTATCTGTCTCAAAGTCACTTTACTCACCTGTAATGAATCGCATTTCTTCAAAGCTGCAGACAACCTCGCTCTGATTTCTGGTATCTCCATATTTTCTGGAGGTTTCAATTTTAGACGACAAAGCATTTCTTTGCATTCATGTCGCTTGTTCTCAATCACACTGCTGGCCGAGACATCCCAGGCCTGGAGGTCTTGCGCTGTAGACATTTTTTGCGCCAACAGCAAATTCTTCCATCCTTGAAATTCAGTCTTCATTTCATCAATCAAACTCAATATATCGTCAGATACGGAGACTAGGCTATTAACGCGCCCGAATTTATCGCGCATTGTGGTCCGTATTTTTGTCCACGAGTTCAAAACAGATTCATTTTCATGAAGTAGGCCATCTATTAACTCAATTGTGTGATTTTTATGTGTACCCTCGGTGCACGTGAAGCACACGAGTTCCAAGCAATCCACGCAGAGGTAATCCAGCGCCTTCTCTTGATGGAGGCACGGTGCCTGTGACAGCGAGCTCGGGGGATGCGGGCGAGCCGTGTTTTCTGAAGGTATCAGTGCGTAGTTGACCAACATTTGATCAATTTTTTGGGAAAATTGTCTCCTACATTTTGGACAATTTTTGGTTCCAGAGAGTTTTAGTAAATTTGTAATGCAAGAAAAGCAAAACGTGTGGCCGCAGGTCAGGCAAAGCGGCTTGTGGTTGCCCGAGTCGAATTTCTCGTTACAAACGTCGCACTCTATCGTCGCACTTGCCATCTTGTGAAGAGTTTTGAAGTTTCATTTAAAAATAATTGAGTTTTACCCAAAAAATATCGGTACACTTCACATACACCTTCTAAATGATAGTTATTGATCCAGCATCTGTTGGTTTAATACGCTTGTTTGATAGATATCACTTCTTTCCTCCAAAAAAAGGCAACTCGTTTCATTCGAATTAACCAAGAAGTTAACATGCTACTGCGCAAATAAAGTCTATTGTAGCCTTCCTTAATCTTAAATCGGGGGAGAGACGAAGACGATTAAATATACTCATACAGTGGGGGGAAATAAATATTCGTACACTTGAAAAATAGTATTTTAATGTATGTAAGTACACAAACTTAACAGGAAAAGTGATTTAAATTATGTATAGAGACGCATAGTATTCAAAAATACTATCAAAAGAATTTAAATCTCAATGCAACAAAAACAATGCAACATGTTCACTTTTCGGGTGAAAAAAGTATTCGTACAAAACAATAAATCCGCATTATTTTAATTTAATACTTGGTTGAATACCCTTTATTCAGCTCAACAGATACCAGTCTATTTCTATTAATTAAAATAATGCGGATTTATTGTTTTGTACGAATACTTTTTTCACCCGAAAAGTGAACATGTTGCATTGTTTTTTGTTGCATTGAGATTTAAGGGGACCCACTACCCTAAAATTTTCAATTTTGGCGTTTTTCGATTTTTGTGCTCATCTGAAAGCTGGAATTCTGTTCTTTCCAATGGTACCACTGCCATCGCTGTACGCCAATATTTACGGTCATGACGTCTCTTTAAAGGGAAGCGGGCGAGAGAGTTCTTTAAGTAATTATATTTAAAGTAATTAAATGCTGAAATCTTTGAATATAGTTTCTACTTGAGTTGTGCTGCAGTTACAAGCTTAGTCTCATCTTAAAGCTGACATTCTGAGCTTTCCAACGATACCACTGCGATCCATGTACGGCAATATTGACGCAGATGGCCGGGCTTTGATGGGGGGCGGGGGGTGGAGTTCCTTCACTAAATAGACCTTAGAAAATTACAGCGGCAAGACTACATATCTTGGTGTATCTGGCATCTGAGCTCAGTTACCCTCCTAACATTGTACGTAGAGGTTCGCTACAAGTTGCTGCTAGCATCCTTGAGTGGATTAAGCTACAGAAGCCTGTAGTTTGGTATCCATGCTACATTGAGTGCCTATTTCGAGGCGCACGGGACTTTGTCGCGCCGTCCTGAAAAGTTTGAAAAGTTCAACTTACTGTCACGGAAAACCTATCCCTCCTACAGTTTTCAAGCTACAGCAATGAGACATATACCATTCGATTCGTAAAGACCATACCTATAGACTCTGTGATCACTTTTTTGAATTTCAGTCTGGTTCGTTTTTTTATATGGGGGAGAAGGGGGGGAAGGGGGGAAAAGGGGAAAAATGGGATAAACGCGCATAAAAAAAACTAAGGGGAAAATGAAAAAAGTGATCACAGAGTCTATAGGTATGGTCTTTACAAATAGAATGATACGTGTCTCGATGTTGTAGGATGATATTTGTAGGAGGAAATAGATTTTCTAAAGTACCCCTTTTTAGCCGTTTTCTATGAATTTCACGTTTTCTATCAATTTTTTCGAAAAATTCATATGATCAAAATGTTCTTATTTTTACATTTTACGCATGTATGTGAAGTTTCATGATGATCGGATGATAACTGTAGAAGTTTTTCCGGAGGGTAGTGGGTTCCCTTAATTTCTTTTGATAGTATTTTTGAATACTGTATGTCTCTATACATAATTTAAATCACTTTTCCTGTTAAGTTTGTGTACTTACATACATTAAAATACGATTTTTCAAGTGTACGAATATTTATTTCCCCCCACTGTACTTTGTTTGAAACATGCACGTCAACAATGAGACGTGGTGCTTCATGGATGTAAATCTCATATAAACTACTGAAACTTTTACTGTCTACAAGCCAAATTTCCCGTACTCCGTTCATCTACAATAACAATGATTTTTCATCCCATGAAATTTGGATTGGAATTAGAATTGAGGGATAATCATTGATAACGCGTTGCAAAATGGTGGAATGGGGAGCTGAAGCACCGATTTTGGATATCGTCATGCATCTTCCCACTAATTCATATTATAAATTAGTTACAGAAGAGAGGTTTCCCCCCCAGGATTTCTGTATTCGTATAAGTCACTGAAGGCGCATATTCCTGCTGGCGCTATTAGCGTTAATTCTTCTCCGCGCACTTCCTTGAAAAATTAACTGAAGAATTCCGTGTTTAAATTTTTAATTCCAAAATCGAGTTAATTATAAACGCTGATAAAAAACGTCTTCATAAACAATTTACATTACCTGATATTGGTGGACTTTTTGCAGATTATAACAAGAAGAAATTAAGTAACCATCCTTTATTTTAAAATTGAATTTACTGCCTTGCGTCTGACATGCAAGCATCTGATGTTACTTGTGAGGTGACGTTATCTTGAGGACCTTATCGGGAACACTCAAAGAAATCGACAGACTGTCCAAATATTGATGCACTTCTTGCCCTTGTGTGGGCCTTCTTGACTCAGTTTTCCCGGCAAAAGGATGTATCAGTGCTACCTGCAGAAAAAGAGTTACTTTTTGGACAATATGAGCCATTAATTTAAATGAGTGAGCTGGTTTTTCAGCTTGTAAGCGACAGCGCCCAATAACTGATAAATGGTGCCTTATGAAATGATTGTTGTAGAAAATGGCCATTTACCTCACTGCCTGTGAATTTGTTATATATGAATGCGTGACAAAGTCAAAATTCATGTTACCAATAATGGAGATTTTAATTCGGCAATATAGAGTTTTCGATCACTAAAATGACACGAATTTTACACCGCATTACATAGTTCCTTATTTCCATTTTTCATTGTTTATCAAGAAGATATCAACACAATTAAAATTTCTCTGGCAATGGAAAGAAGAATTTATTTTTATAAAAAGATAATGAAAAAATTCGGTGGTAAGAAACCGCTGCTCAAAATATATGAAAATGATTTTTTTTATTTTCGATGAGTTCCTTATAAGCGAAAGTTCGATTGACAAGTAATAATGGCCACCGCTTTTCGTCACTGTACTTCCCGTCTCTGCATTACTTATTAGGACGGGAATACTTGGGACAAACTCGGGTCCTGAGTCTTGACTCAACGTCTTAACACCCGACCGATACAACAGCAGAAGTATTGTAATAATTAACTCTTATTATTTATTGAATTGTAATACGTTGATATTAAATACTGATATTATTTTATGTACCGTATACTTCATATTATATATTACTGAAATAACAAGAATTCATAAAATACATTTACTGAGCAAGAGGCAACGATAAGTGAACTGATCAGAAATTTTTGGGTATTTTTACACTCGATTTGATATTATTAATTTTTCACTCCAATATTCAGGACACCATTAACTGCTTTAAACTTTCCATTTAATGCCACATATGCATATGTCTGCGACCTACAAGCACCGCAATGAACAACTGCAGCAGAGCTGTCAGGCCGCTGAGATTTAATCGCGCAGAGAAAATCATCAGTAATTCTGGTGCCAGAACCAGACCGTCTTGCTCAGGGTTTATTCACGAGTTTCTTCTGGTAACAGGACACAGGTTCAGATAGCCATCTCTGAGTAGGCTGGGCTGGAACACTAACCTCAATGCCAGTCAAGTCGCCACAGCACTTATGTCGCAGACCCTCTATAGATAAGATTCATTTCATAAAAAAAACTATTCACAAGTTTTTCAACAATTCACACACTAAATATGTGCATTTGTTTCTATTACACTCACTACGGTTAGCATAAAGCAACAGACAAATTTCAAAGGGCCCAGTCTTCTACTGTGCGTAACGCTCACCTCCGCTACCGAGATTAGACTGACGACGAGGCGCAGCGGCGGAGCGGCCAGCGGGTGGCTGCAGGGTTGCCAGATGTTTGCGAGGGAAAAATGCCAAATTCACCACCATAAAAAGCAAGAACTGGCCGCAGTTCTAACTTTACTAAGATATAAATTTAATTTTTTAGAGCAACAATAATAAATTTACCTGGTTCTTATTCACTAAAAATAAGAGTGCGTAGAACTTCTTTATACTTTTTTGTCGGACAATGCTAGAAAGGCCACAAGTAATCTAATTTGGCCTGAATAGGCTCATCTGGCAACCCTGGCCATGAGCCGACCACTCGTGCCGGTGCACCGCTCAGCTGTTTTGTAGATGATCCGAAATTTCAAGGTTTCATCACAATTAATTTCTGTAAGCGGCCCAGGAATGATCTAATTTTGTTGGAATTTGAAATTTAGCTAATCTTGAATTATTTCATATAATTTCACCTATGGACTTATGGGTTTGCTCTCAATTAAATATTATGGAAGAAATAGCTTCAATCATGTATCCAGACACCTGTGTGCTCATACAGAAGTTTCTGTGCGATTGGCCCCACAGCTGCCTTCGCCGCACTAGAAGGTATATATTACTGTGAAATAAATATTACTTCAACATTAAAACAATATTTTGTTAGTGAAGTCAATTGACCGACCTGGGGCGGCTTTACAAACAAACCGTCGATATTCAAGGTTTTTAACTGACATAATTCAATGTTTACTCATCAACCTATGAGAAGCTGATGTGAAAACATGTTAAATAGTTGACTAGAATTTCAAGCATGTGTTTGTTTTACCAAGGATCATGTGTGCTTGTGGAAGTTTGAAATACGTGCAGGTAGATCGTAACGCTTACATTCAACTTTACGACACTCACATGATCAGCGAACTGGCGAAAGCCGCTCTGAACCCAGCACAACTGAAAATCTACTATCGTAGTCGGCAATTTAAAAAAAATGGAAAGTCAAACTTAATAAGGAATAAATTGGTTGCATGGTTACAAATTTATTCGAAGAGTGAAGAGGCAGTTGATTTATTATCTAAAACATACAATAAACGATATCATTATTACGAAACGTTGCTTGATTCAACAAGTGATCTCAAGACGAGTCTCTTGGTCAAAAATCGAAAATTTTGGCTCTTCAGTTATCTGGGCTCATTTTGTAGCTGCGGAACAGGCGCGTATAACGCAGAAAAACGCGTATGTAGCTATGTTTGTATTTCAGTTTTTGCGTGAGACAGTTCCATATTAGTATGAAATGAACATTTTTAAACAAAAAGTACAGAGATTACTTTTAAAATTTTAATTTATAAATCATTTT